AGGGAAAGGTCATTTGTACATTTGACAAGATGCGAGATCTAATTCTTGACAGAAGAAAATAAGCAACTTTATAAGAAGTCAGTGTTGCCGTAATGTTTGTTTCTTTGGCTATTCAAGGTTTCTCGAAGTAAATGAAGAGATTCAGTTTTGAGTGTTTGCTGATCATTTATATATACCTCTAGTTTACTGAGTGTTCTTATCACGTTTCATTCATGTTTTTAGGGAAAGAAGCATATTTCCTGTCTAACCTCTATGAGAGGGAAGTGACGTGTCCTCTCCTGAGGTCCTGTTCTCTGAGTCACCTTCCTGTGAAATCCTTCCGAGCTTTCCTTCTCTGCCAGCTCTGCCCAGATGGTATCATTTGATGGAAGTCTAAAACTGTGCTGATCAATAAAGTAGCTATTAGCCACATGTGGCTAAGTTAATTAAAATTAAATTAACATTCAGTTTCTCGGTTGCACTAGCCATGCTTATGGGCTCAATAACCANAATTAACATTCAGTTTCTTGGTTGCACTAGCCATGCTTATGGGCTCAATAACCACATGTGGCTGGTGCTGCTATATTTGACAATGCAGATATATACCATTTCCACAATTGCAAAAAGTTTTATTATTCAGCGCTGGTCTAGAGGTTGGCCTGCTCCACCCCCACCCCCTTCCCATGCCCTTCCTTCCTAAGAAGCAGAGTCCCCTCTAAACCAGGGCTTCCCACCTTATAGCCCTACTCTTAGAACTACCTGGCCCGTTTTATATGTTAGCTACTTGCTCTTTTCTTCATGCTGAACAGTTCTTACGTCTGCATCAGGCCTGGAGTATCATGCTTTGTACATCAGTTCAAACCAAAGTTATTAAGGAACTCTGATTAGTAGTGTAATGATTTTGAATGCAAATTCTGGGCCTAAGCAGTATCTCTTGGATATGTTTCCATTACATCCTGAAATGGCATTCACTGTTATCCAGACATATATTTCTGATAATCTAACAAATTTCAAACACCTTTTATAAGATTCAAAACAGTAAAATGAATCCTAATATCATTATAAAGTTATTTCCAATCAAATAATTTAAAGATAACTGCCAGGTATATTTTTTCTTAATAGATCAGGCTAAATTCCTATATACAGTTCTCCCCAAAATATTGAGTAAATTACTTGGCAGGCCATTTATGTTCCCTACAGGATATAACCCTGAGATACAAAGCAGCACAATCAGAGAAATTCAAAGATGTTTTACCTACTAAGTTTTCAACTGCCTGCCTCAAATCAAAATGCTTGGGCCGAGCACAGACATCAGAATGGAGGCTCAGCCCAGCCTCGCTTTGCTCTCACTGCCCTCCCGCCCCTCACCCACCACTTTACCTTGGCTTGCGCATTTCCAGCTGCCCTGTCCCTCTCCTCCTCTTGGGCTTTCTGCTGTCCACAAGAACCATCAGGCAAAACAAGAACAAAATGAGTTTTGTAAAATAAGGCATTTTGTGAATGTCTACAGTGCCACAAGCTGCTTTCCAGTGACCTGCAGCGGAGCAAATCCCTCAGGCTTAACCATTGATAGGGTTTGCTCTCTTGTGACAGCGCTGCTTGGAGGGGCTGCTCAGGCATGGCTGGCCAGGCTGATTTTCCCAAATTAATATTTGATAC